ACCTGTCCTATAGTGCGAGTCAACTAGCGACGCATCTGAAGCAACCGGAACAGGAAGATCTCGAGGAACTCAACCGGGCACTACTCTACTTCGTCTCCACGCCGACGATCGGACTTATCTACAGCAAAGCGACAACACCGTCCGTACAACTGCTCGGATACGTCGACGCCGACCACGCGGGAGACAGGGAAAATCGACGATCTAGGACGGGCTACATCTACCGACTAGAACCCATCGGAACTATCTCCTGGCAGTCGAGCAAGCAGGAGTTAATCGCACTATCCTCGGCTGAAGCAGAGTACATCGCCCTTTGTACTGCGACCAAGGAAGGACTCTACCTGCGAGAGTTACTCGAGGAAGCGAAGATCACGACCCTGCCCGCCTTCTCACTCTTCTGCGACAACCAATCTGCGATCAAAATCGCAAACAAGGACGGCTTCGCCAACCGAACCAAACACATCGCCCTGCGGTACTTCTTCGTCAAAGATGAAATCGCGAAGGGGAGACTTCAACTCAGTTACTGCCCGACGACAGAAATGGCCGCAGACTATTTGACGAAGAAATTAACGAAGACAAAATTCGACCACTGCATGCTGCTGACCGGACAGACAAACGTCACCAGATCCGAACATAACAGCACTCCAGAAACGAAGGGGAGTGTTGGAAATATCTCAAAGAACTTAAGCGTTTCTGAAGTGTAACACTACACTCGAGGAAGACTACAAGGGAGCACGAGAGTCAACGGAGGTTACACGAGGGGGCGGACAAAGAATGCGAAAGGTCGCAACTGGAGGTTGCGACTGACCGTTACAGCATCATGGATGGTAACCGAAGCGGCAATCGAGTCGCTGTGCGACTCGATAAACCGTTCCTGTAACTGTACTCTACAACTGCTTTCTTATCTTCTATATATTGCTGTATGCTTGTTCCCTTAATCAATCACTTGTTCTCACATACTAGTACAAGGGTTCAAACTGCCTCAACTTCCGCTGCACTACCCCAAGTCTCAAGTCTCTACAAGCTGGGACTTAGTCTCTGCAAAAGATCCTAAGGGCTTTTTCTCAGCCCAACATAAGATATACATTAGTTAGTTGACACTTTTACCAAACGTGCCACTAAGGGCGGATTCCTGCGAAGTTGGATGCAGCTTCGCGTGCTACCTAACTGAACCGCACCGGAATTCAGATTTCCGCACTTGCAACACCTGTACTGCGCGTGTTGGATCCAACTTAGAAGGAATCCACCCTAATTAGATCCCCTCCCAACATTTCAATGTATTCTTTATTACCTCCATGGGGTGTTCAATACAAGGGAATACGATAGGACTTAAGGAGAGAAGGTGGCTGCAATAACAGTGATGCTTAAGTGCAAGAGCTGTGTAGTAGTGTTGAACTTGAGAATGGCACCTGGAGGGATTATCACCGAGTCATTGGGTGCACCCAGGGGAGGGAGTACCTGCGAGGGGGAATTGGAATGGTGGAGTTGAGAGACAGAATGGCAATCAATGATAAGGTGGAGGTGGGTAAGGTTGGAGGATGGGAAGGGTAGTGTGAGAGAGAAGTGAGGGAGAGAAGAAGTGTGGGAGGGAGGGAGGGAGGAGGGACAGACGGACGGACAGGCGGACAAAGAGAGGGGGACCGGGAGGGTTGGAGGAAGGGAGAAATGTCGAGAGGATGGGGGAATACTAAAAGGGAGAGAGGAGAGAGCAGCAGGGGGGAAACACGCAGAAGGAGTAGCAAGCAGAGGAAGGAGGGCACGGCACGGAGGAAGGACCAAGCAAGTTAGCCTGGCAAGGAGTAAGACACACGCCCATCTCCAAGATGCTCATTTGTTCACACAATGCTGATGTGCAAGGCATGGCATGAAGAGCTCTGACCCGGAATTGATAATTGTCGTGACTGTTTCTTTCATCTTTGCCATATCCAATGAACTGCAAGCGCGGAATGAGGACGTAGGAGCGAAATCTGTTCTTCCTGACGATGTTGATGGTCAGGCGAGAGATGGCCCGCTGCTGACACGTGTTGTTCAGAATGACCTGAGAAGGCGTGGGAAGGGGGAGGAGGGAGGAGGGCAACGGGAGGGGAGGGGCGGATGGGTGAGGGGAGGAAGGGATGTGGCGAGGAATGGGGGGGGGGGGGGAGCAGAGCCTGAGGAAGAAAAGAAACTTAGAAGGGGAGAGAAGCTTAGAAGGGAGAGCAGGAGCAGGGGGAGCAGGGAAGGGGAGAGCTCTATGTAGAGAAGCAAGCATGGACTGCAGTGGCGCTAGCCAAACTGATTGCAAGGTTGGGCTCCAGCTACAAGTCCCAGCTGAAGACACGATAATACGAACTAAGATCAAATCAGAGGTGGTGCATCACAAAAAACAATCATCCACAAAACTGCCAAATGAAGCCAATCTGGAGTTTTTCCGTACGGTTTTAAAATGTTGGGTTGGAAACTCTTTTAGGAGAAAGTCTAAGTCTTTTTCTGAATGAAGCGTCATATGATTTCAGGATCAACAGCACGTTCCAGAAGACTTATGAAGAAGATACTCCCAAACTCCACCTTGGCTTTTCCCAAAGGCTATTCGGGTTTGAATAGGTGATTTCTTTAGCCTTCTTGGAATGATCATGTCTCTTGTTGGTTTTTTCCATGTATTTTCCACAACTCCTTGAGTGGGTTTGAGGGTGTGCTGGTTTTGTTTAGGAACCATTGGTGTTGAACAGAACCCTGGATAATATAATGGAGCTACACTCAGGTTCAATGACAGCTTAATATTACAATGACAAGTTTAAATGCAACATTAATATGCACTCAGTCTCAGCCCTCGTAGTCTAGCCTTCCTCCTCCCCAATCTGCTCCAGGGCCAAAGTATGCCCTTTGATTTCACCACTGACACCAATCATGATTCCAGTGGCCTTTGATGGCTGCTGCAATTTTAGGCTGCTGCTCTAGGCTCTGCTCTAGGCTCCTATCTAGGATACTACTCTAGGCTCCTCTCCAGGCTGCTTTATAGGCTCCGCCCTAGGTTGCTGCTGCTGTACGATACTCCTCCCTTGCCCACTGCCGTGCCTCCTCCCTTGCCCACTGCCGTGCCTCCTCCCCTCGCCCACTGCCGTGCCTCCTCCCTTGCCCACTGCCGTGCCTCCTCCCTTGCCCACTGCCGTGCCTTCTCCCTTGCCCACTGCCGTGCCTCCTCCCTTGCCCACTGCCGTGCCTCCTCCCTTGCCCACTGCCGTGCCTCCTCCCTTGCCCACTGCCGTGCCTCCTCCCTTGCCCACTGCCGTGCCTCCTCCCTTGCCCACTGCCGTGCCTCCTCCCTTGCCCACGGCCATGCCTCCTCCCTTGCCCACCGCCATGCCTCCTCCCTTGCCCACCGCCATGCCTCCTCCCTTGCCCACCGCCATGCCTCCTCCCTTGCCCACTGCCGTGCCTCCTCCCTTGCCCACTGCCGTGCCTCCTCCCTTGCCCACTGCCGTGCCTCCTCCCTCGCCCACTGCCGTGCCTCCTCCCTTGCCCACTGCCGTGCCTCCTCCCTTGCCCACTGCCGTGCCTTCTCCCTTGCCCACTGCCGTGCCTCTCCCTTGCCCACTGCCGTGCCTCCTCCCTTGCCCACTGCCGTGCCTCCTCCCTTGCCCACGGCCGTGCCTCCTCCCTTGCCCACTGCCGTGCCTCCTCCCTTGCCCACTGCCGTGCCTCCTCCCTTGCCCACTGCCGTGCCTCCTCCCTTGCCCACTGCCGTGCCTCCTCCCTTGCCCACGGCCGTGCCTCCTCCCTTGCCCACGGCCATGCCTCCTCCCTTGCCCACTGCCGTGCCTCCTCCCTTGCCCACTGCCGTGCCTCCTCCCTCGCCCACTGCCGTGCCTCCTCCCTCGCCCACTGCCGTGCCTCCTCCCTTGCCCACTGCCGTGCCTCCTCCCTTGCCCACTGCCGTGCCTCCTCCCTCGCCCACTGCCGTGCCTCCTCCCTTGCCCACTGCCGTGCCTCCTCCCTTGCCCACTGCCATGCCTCCTCCCTTGCCCACTGCCGTGCCTCCTCCCTTGCCCACTGCCGTGCCTCCTCCCTTGCCCACTGCCGTGCCTCCTCCCTTGCCCACGGCCATGCCTCCTCCCTTGCCCACTGCCATGCCTCCTCCCTTGCCCACTGCCGTGCCTCCTCCCTTGCCCACTGCCGTGCCTCCTCCCTTGCCCACTGCCGTGCCTCCTCCCTTGCCCACTGCCGTGCCTCCTCCCTTGCCCACTGCCGTGCCTCCTCCCTTGCCCACTGCCGTGCCTCCTCCCTTGCCCACTGCCGTGCCTCCTCCCTTGCCCACTGCCGTGCCTCCTCCCTTGCCCACGGCCATGCCTCCTCCCTTGCCCACTGCCGTGCCTCCTCCCTTGCCCACTGCCGTGCCTCCTCCCTTGCCCACTGCCGTGCCTCCTCCCTTGCCCACTGCCGTGCCTCCTCCCTTGCCCACTGCCGTGCCTCCTCCCTTGCCCACTGCCGTGCCTCCTCCCTTGCCCACTGCCGTGCCTCCTCCCTTGCCCACTGCCGTGCCTCCTCCCTTGCCCACGGCCATGCCTCCTCCCTTGCCCACTGCCGTGCCTCCTCCCTTGCCCACTGCCGTGCCTCCTCCCTTGCCCACTGCCGTGCCTCCTCCCTTGCCCACTGCCGTGCCTCCTCCCTTGCCCACTGCCGTGCCTCCTCCCTTGCCCACTGCCGTACCTCCTCCCTCGCCCACTGCCGTGCCTCCTCCCTTGCCCACTGCCGTGCCTCCTCCCTTGCCCACTGCCGTGCCTCCTCCCTTGCCCACTGCCGTGCCTCCTCCCTTGCCCACGGCCATGCCTCCTCCCTTGCCCACGGCCATGCCTCCTCCCTTGCCCACGGCCATGCCTCCTCCCTTGCCCACCGCCGTGCCTCTTGGCTCACCCTTTGGCTCAATCAATGCCTTCCTTTGCCTCACCCTGTGCCTGCTCCCCTTCCTGATATCTTGCCTGACCCCTTGGTTGGCCCCTTGACTGCTCCCCTGACTGCTCCCCTGAGTGGTCCGTTCAGTGCTCCCCTGACTGATCCCTTCACTGCTCCCTTGACTGCTCCCTTCACTGGTCCTATGACTGCTCCCTTCACTGGTCCTCTGACTGCTCCCTTCACTGCTCCCCTGACTGATCTCTTACTGCTCCCTTGACTGATCTCTGACTGCTATGTTGACTGATCTCTGACTGCTTTCTGGACTGCCCTCCTGATGGTGCCATTGACTACTGCCTCCTCCACCATGCCTTCGCTCGCTTGCCTCCTCTCCTCCTCTGCCCTGTCTTCTCTGCCAAGCCTTCTCTGCCCTGCCTTCTCTGCCCTGCCTTCTCTGCCCTGCCTTCTCTGCCCTGCCTCCTCTGCCCTGCCTTCTCTGCCCTGCCTTCTCTGCCCTGCCTTCTCTGCCCTGCCTTCTCTGCCCTGCCTTCTCTGCCCTGCCTTCTCTGCCCTGCCTTCTCTGCCCTGCCTTCCTCTGCCCCTGCCTTCTCTGCCCTGCCTTCTCTGCCCTGCCTTCTCTGCCTGCCTTCTCTGCCCTGCCTTCTCTGCCCTGCTTCTCTGCCCTGCCTTCTCTGCCCTGCCTTCTCTGCCCTGCCTTCCCTGCCTTCTCTGCCCTGCCTTCTCTGCCCTGCCTTCTCTGCCCTGCCTTCTCTGCCCTGCCTTCTCTCCCTGCCTTCTCTGCCCTTGCCTTCTCTGCCCTGCCTTCTCTGCCCTGCCTTTAGTCACTGCTAGCCTTCCTAGCCCTCCTGGAGTCACTGCTTCCTGGCAGCTCCAGTCTTAGTCACAGCTGGTAGGGTTTAGGGCAGCTCCCCGGTACTCCTCAAATCCAGATTCATGGACGTAAAGCCCCCAATCCCCCCACTGGAAACCCCTCATTTTGGAACAGTAGATAGGATTGTGACGGGTAAAGTGGTCTCGCACCACCCTCCGCACCACTTCCCGCACACTCGTCACCCACCTCGTGTTCTTTCGGTGGGAGTTTGAGAGATTCATGGTGGACTTCTTTACCTTGGACAGGCCATAGTCCACCTGTAAGACATGGGGTGGAATGGCAGGGGGGGATGACACAACTTTTGGTCACCACATGATGATAGCAACTCAGCAGCAAGAACAAACCCTCCCATATCCGCCCCTCTTGATCGGCGTCCAATGAAATGGATCACATGGCCTGAGGTGGGAGACAGGGGGCGGTGGAAAGGGTTTTGGACACTAACAGAGTCTGTAGTGGCAAAGCCCTGGAAACATTAAGAGGCGGGCGTTCACAATATCTACTGGCTGATACTCACCACCATGATAATCCACGCAATGTGGTAAGCCTTCAAACAGAGCTTGCCATCACTGGAGTAGTCACGGAACGCTGCCCATGCAGCATCCCAGAAGCGCTTGTTGGCGAATGACATGCCGCTCTCCTCATCCAAGCCCCAAGTGCTAAGGGGTTGGTTTGCCTCTGCACACAAGGTTGGGAGAGGGGGGGCACAGTTGCTAGAGCAGCCTTCAAATTCAAAACACTATTGTTAAAGCATGTAACCCTTACTTGGTGAGAAGTCAGCCCACAGGTCAGCCTTGAGCCCGACTTCCAAGTAGATTTCCGCGGCTCGCAGACCCTCCACAGGAACTCCGAAGGATTCGAGCACGAGCGCTTGATCTGAAATGCTCGCTCGTTCTTCCACTGTGTATACGCACGCTTGAAACGGTCGACGAGCTTCTGGTCCTTCATTGTCTCCTTAAACTGGATGAAGGAAACTATGTAACCCTCGGAAATTACCCCATGCAGAACTTGCTCACGCAAGTCATGCGTGGGGTAGAAGTTGAGGGCAGCATCCGGGGCGTCCATGCAGAGGCGGTCCCTGGAGACATCAAAGTGGAACTGTATAGGGGAGAGGAGAGGGAGTGGGAGAGTGGGAAGTGGGCGGGTGGTGGGTTGGGGTGGAGAAGAGGGTGGAGAGGGGAGGGATGACAAGGGGGGAATGTGTGACAAGACAGAACAATGATGGAGTGAAAGTAGCGACAGAAAACAACAAGTAATCAACGCAGTGAGGAGCTCTGGGAAAAGAAAGTCTTGGGGGAACGCAGAGCTGGGGGAAATGCGGCCGAGCGAAAAGCAGAGCCGGGGAAATGCAGAGCTGAAGGTGGCGCAGAGTTGAGGGTAAAGCAATGCAGGGGGCAAGGCAGGACTGAGTGAAATGCAGAGCTGGGGGGAATGCAAAGCTGGGAAAATGCAGACCTGGGAGAGATGCAGGGCTCTAGGGAAGTCCAGAGCTGAGGGAAACGCAGAGCAAAGGGTAATGCAGAGCTTATGGAAATGCAGGGCTGCGGGAAGTGCAGAGCTGAGGGAAGTGCATAGCCGAGGGAAATGCAGGGATAAGGGAACTGCTATGATGAAGGATGGGCTTAGGGAAATGCAGAGCCGAGGGAAATGCAGTGATGAGGGAAATGCATGGCTGAGGAAAAAGCAAGGCTGAGGGAAGTGCAGAGCTGAGGAAGTTCTAGGCTGAGGGAAGTGCAGAGCTGAGGGAAATTCAAGGCTGAGGGAAGTGCAGAGCTGAGGGAAATGCATAGCAAAGGGAAATGCAGAGCTTATGGAAATGTAGGCTGAGGAAAATGGAGGGCAGAGGAAAATGCAGGGCTGACGGAAATTCAAGGCTGAGGGGAGTGCAGAGCTGAGGGAAATGCATAGCTAAGGGAAATGCAGAGCTTATGGAAATGTAGGGCTGAGGAAAATGCAGGGCTGAGGGAAATTCAAGGCTGAGGGAAATGCAGAGCTGATGGATGTGCAGGAAGTAGGCATATGGGACCATTAAAAAAATAAATTGAAATGATGAAACTGAGGCGTAACGAGACACAACGGGTGCTTGAAATCAGGCCAGTGAACAACACGGCAGAGTTTTGACCATGCATGGGGGACCTTACCTTCATGTTATCAGAGGTGGGCATCCCATGCTTGCGTACAATGGGTTCACCCTGGACCCCACTCTCAGCAACGAAACCGGCCGAGGCCTCCCGTGAAGGAGGACCACTGGACATTTCCGCCAAGGGAGGAACCTGTGCACGAGGTCCCCCGTTGTCCGTTGCTGACCCCTTGCGCGACTTCAGCTCTGCAATTTGCTTTTTGGCGTCCTGCAAAGCACGGAACAACTGCTGAATGGTCACGCTATCATGGCCATCCGCATCGCCTACCGATGCATCACAACCAAGAGCATCACTAGTGCCAAAGTTGTGGGCACCAAGACGGCTTCGGTTGCCCTCCTTGTCAGCTGCTGAGGAGGGTTTGGACTGGGGCTGCAGCGAGGCTACACCAGCAGGACTGCTACCAGGGCCTTGGTGGGCTGCTTCGTCATTCTGGCCAGCATAGTCTCCAGCTGCATTTGCCCAGACGCCATGCTCCCCAGTTTCGGCAGCCGCGTGGTTGCTGCCAGCTAGCCAAGGTCTGTGTTCGCGGTCGTACCCCTTCGCACTCGTGTTCATGTGCGCGCCACCAGAGAACGCCCCCGCCCCCCTCTGAGGACATGCCGTGCCATCCCACCTCTTCGCCTCCTGCACCTCCAACACCCGTCTTCCCCCATCCTCAGCCACACGCGTGTGGCCCCTCGACAAACGACCATCGGCAGTAGAGGGTGAAGCGAGCGCTGCATAAGGGTCATCTTGAGCTGCGCGTTTCAACCTATACCTCTCCTTACGCTCCTCCAGTGTACCGTCATTCGCCGTCTCAAGAGCTCTCATCTCGTTGTAAAAACCGGTTTCATGCCTCAGCGGTGGACGGTCCATGGACACCCGCAACCTCTCCTTACGGTCTACACGCCTTGCATGCGCATGGTCACGGGAGCTACCCCTGTTATGCCCCTTCCCGCTTCTCTTCTTTTTACCATCCGCACGGTTACTGTGCTTGCCGCCGTGCCTACGACTCACCCCACCCCGCCGACTAACCTGTCTTCCCTCATCATCACTCTCAGGCTCGAGCTCGACCTCCTCACTCTCGTCCACGTATTCCTCATAAACCTCCTCGCTGCCTGAAGATTCGCCAGAATCCTCCTCAGAACTACTCTCGCTCTCGGATTTCGCCTGAGTGTACTTCATGTGCTTACCACGCTGCCCCCTACGCTGGCGCTTCGTTTTGGGCTCATTGTTCCCCTTCTCGTTACGGCGCAAGACGTCCCCAGCGGCAAGTTCACCCTGAAGTACACCCTTATTCGCCGCTGCAAGGTTCGTCTGGTCCCTGGGCTTGTTCGATGCACCGTCCTTCGTCTCGACAGTATCTCCGCCATCATCCACCTTGGGTGCACCTGCTGCAGAAATGCCACCATTACAAGGTAGCTTAGCTGCGGGAACACCTAGCAAGAGAAAGCAACACAGATCGTCGCAGTGGTTTGGAGCCGGTGAAAATTGGTAGCAAAACGTGACGACAGCTGTGCCTAAGGAATATATGCAGGGGTGCAGGACGAAACACACTGCATGTATACCAGCTGACTAACCTTTCTTGGTTGTTGGCTTCGGCTGACACTCCGACAACCGTTTCGTTTTCCGCCTACGTGGCTTCGGAGAAGACACACCACCAGATGCGGCGTATGGCTGCACGTCATCGTCAGAGCTTCCCTCGCTCTCAGAAGACGAGTCCCCTTGGGCATCAGCGCCGCCGCATGCTCCTGACGGGTGCTTCCGACGGTACTGGATTACGACCTGCGCGGTCTTCTCCGGAGTAACTTCCTCGTGAAAGCGCTGTTCTTCGGCTGTCTTGGGAGTATCCTGCAGTACGGTTGCACCGAGGTCGTTGGCAGGGCTTGAGTCACGAGCGGGATGATGGACGAAGTCACCCATGTCGAGGCTGTAGGGGTAGGTGGGAAAAAAGGTTTTGCTGTTGATTGGTGGGGCTATGATGTCATGGGAGACATGTGAGTGCTTATATAGGGGGGGGAAGGGGTGGCGTGAAACAAGGCTGCCAGAGTCGACGGGCGGGAGGCAGTCGGATGTTTCGCAGCGCCTGGCTCGACGCGATTCCAATATACGTGGCTCCTCGCTTTTTTTACACGCTTTGACCGTTAAGATAATCCTGGGCAGTGTAAATTTAATGTCGCCCTTGCGTGCATGGTTAAACATTTATCTTAAAGACAGTGGCTCGAAAATACCCACGATGCCTAGTATAAGCAATCCAGTGGACTTTCTGGGGATCAGTTAAGGTAGGGTCCACAAGTCGTGAGAAGACAGCACACACGTAGACTCAGAATGCATAATCTGGCGGGGTGTTTTCCCACGACGACAAAACAGAGGCTCAGTTGGTCATGCACGAAAATCTTGGAAACGGAAGCACAAAACACGAACGTACGCATCACGGCGCCCTGCGACTCGACTCACCAACGTGTCGCCCAAACACGTCAAGCGCGCGCTTACGTGCAGTTCATGTTTTCCCATGACAGACTGTCGCACCTTCAAGAAACAACCCGGGTAGCTCTAAGTAGCGCTGGGCCATGACGAGAGAGAGTTTAGACTGAATGGGGGAGAACGCCGTAAGCGTGTGACAGATTTGCTGATTGGGTGTGGAAGTGGGAGTTGGACAGGGAAGGGGCTACTGTAGCCATGCCTGAGCCATATTATTTTTACTGTACAAGAGCGACGGGGCGAACTAATCTCAGGATTAATAGACCGATGAGCCACAGGGGACCAGGACGTTACCAGGGTCAAGAGCCAAGAAACTTCGACGTGTCCGAAGCTGCAATGGGACAGTCTGAAGACGTGGCGGGACGGGAACTGGCAGCAGACGTCGACCGCAAGTCAGCGTCCAACGGACTATCGGTGACAGGACTGGGGATCGGTCCCGCCAAGTCATAAGGAATTCTTTAAAAAAAAACATTACATGTGTTTCCAATGCCTATCCCCTAAAACTCGTACACCAAACATAACTACTAAACCTCAAAGAGTAATAACCAACGCATTGTGGGATGGGAATGCAACACATAATCTGTGTGACAACGTGGGGGAATACCAGTGGCATTCATGGAACAGTGGGCTAGGTCCTGTACAACCATTGAGCCCACGCACTATTTATGCACATCGCCACAACGAGATGACTCTGGTTTTCCCAGTCCTCCGACAGTGTTAACATGCCACATTCCTATGAAGGTTTTGACGTATTTTGGGAAGGTTCCAACCCATTAATAATTGGTGATTCAAGATCCTAAGATCAAGAAAACCGAGTTGTGCCAACGATAAGTTTATAGCATTGTGATTCAGTTTGTGCATGTATGACTTGTTGTTAGAAACTTAGTCACTAACCGCTGAGTTAAAAGGGCTTGTTAAGTAGCTGGTCCGGACACTTGTGTGGATCCGATCCCATTGCATGATACCCTCCAGAGTTCAACCATTTCCAAGAAACGAATGGACAGGCGACGAATTCTAAATCTGTGCATGCGTATTGAAGTGGAAAGACCACTCCGCCAGGTCACGTCTATACTGCCTCCTCCACATTCTCGGGCTTCCAACAAGGTCACAGGACTGCAGGCACTGGAACCTTTCCTCCACCAGAGTATGCATCACCCGCATAACGAACACTCCACAATCATTCTCGTTCTGCTGCAACGGCACCTGCAGTGACGGGTAAAAGACAGCCAGTCAACGCAAATGCAGGTCTGAGAGAGGTGCAGTGTTGGGGAGAGTGCAGAGCTGAGAGACATGCACAGCTGAGGTAATTGCATAGCTGAGGTAGATGCATAGATGAGGTAAGTGCATAGGTGACGTAAATGCATAGCCGAGGTAAGTGCATAGCTGTGGTAAGTGCATAGCTGTGGTAAGTGCATAGCTGTGGTAAGTGCATAGATGTGGTAAATGCACAGCTGAGGTAATTGCATCGCTGAGGTGAGTTCATAGCTGAGGTAAGTGAATAGCTGTGGTAGATGCATAGATGAGGTAAGTGCATAGCTGTGGTAAGTGCATAGCTGTGGTAAGTGCATAGATGTGGTAAATGCATAGCTGAGGTAATTGCATAGCTGAGGTAGATGCATAGATGAGGTAAGTGCATAGGTGACGTAAATGCATAGCCGAGGTAAGTGCATAGCTGTGGTAAGTGCATAGCTGTGGTAAGTGCATAGCTGTGGTAAGTGCATAGCTGTGGTAAGTGCATAGATGTGGTAAATGCACAGCTCAGGTAATTGCATAGCTGAGGTAAGTCAATAGCTGTGGTAGATGCATAGATGAGGTAAGTGCATAGATGTGGTAAGTGCATAGCTGTGGTAAGTGCATAGCTGTGGTAAGTGCATAGATGTGGTAAATGCACAGCTGAGGTAATTGCATAGCTGAGGTAAGTCAATAGCTGTGGTAGATGCATAGATGAGGTAAGTGCATAGATGTGGTAAGTGCATAGCTGTGGTAAGTGCATAGATGTGGTAAGTGCATAGCTGTGGTAAGTGCATAGCTGTGGTAAGTGCATAGATGTGGTAAATGCACAGCTGAGGTAATTGCATAGCTGAGGTAAGTCAATAGCTGTGGTAGATGCATAGATGAGGTAAGTGCATAGATGTGGTAAGTGCATAGCTGTGGTAAGTGCATAGATGTGGTAAATGCACAGCTGAGGTAATTGCATAGCTGAGGTGAGTGCATAGCTGAGGTAGATGCATAGATGAGGTAAGTGCATAGGTGACGTAAATGCATAGCCGAGGTAAGTGCATGGCCGTGGTAAGTGCATAGATGTGATAAGTGCATAGCTGTGGTAAGTGCATAGATGTGGTAAATGCACAGCTGAGGTAATTGCATAGCTGAGGTGAGTGCATAGCTGAGGTAGATGCATAGATGAGGTAAGTGCATAGGTGACGTAAATGCATAGCCGAGGTAAGTGCATGGCTGTGGTAAGTGCATAGATGTGGTAAGTGCATAGCTGTGGTAAGTGCATAGATGTGGTAAATGCACAGCTGAGGTAATTGCATAGCTGAGGTGAGTGCATAGCTGAGGTAGATGCATAGATGAGGTAAGTGCATAGGTGACGTAAATGCATAGCCGAGGTAAGTGCATGGCTGTGGTAAGTGCATAGATGTGGTAAGTGCATAGAGGTGCAGTGTTGGGGAGAGTGCAGAGCTGAGAGACATGCGGAGCTGAGGTAAAGACAAAGCTCAGTGAAATGCAGAGCCTAGCAAGAAAAGCAGAGTGCCGTATGCATCGCTCGGCGAAATGCAATCTGAAGGACATGCACAGCCGAGGTAAGTGCATAGACGAGGTAAGTGCATAGCTGTGGTAAGTGCATAGCTGTGGTAAGTGCATAGCTGTGGTAAGTGCATAGGTGTGTTAAATGCACAGCTGAGGTAATTGCATAGCTGAGGTGAGTGCATAGCTGAGGTAGATGCATAGATGAGGTAAGT